AGCCACGGGGCATCCAAGCGCGGATGCTGAAGAACCGTGTATTGAGCACCCACCACCAGATGCCACCACCGCTGCCATGCCCTTGGCGGCGGAAGAGCTTCTGGATGCCCCACCACCGTTTGCTGATGTGCCTGTTGCCACTGTGCCACCGCAAGCGGCCGACCCACTCGGTGTCAGGGATCTCGGTGGTGGCCCTGCGCCGCTGGCAGTGGGGGAGCTGGTAGTGTCCTTGGGGGATACAGATGACTTTGCCAACATAGTTGTGCTGCCCATCCTGGAGCGCCTATCCACCGAAGCACTGGCTTTGGAGGATGACCCCATTGTGAGAGCACCCGCAGCGGAGGCGGCAGCTTGGGACAGTGCCTCCATGCCGCCGGGCACACCCCCCTCGGAAGGACCCACCACCCTAGAGCTGCACGTGCTGCTGGGTGCACCCTCCATCGCAGCACCCACCACACAAACCCTCCCCGGGGCCGTGCCGGGGGACACCCTCCATCCCCCCAGCCGCAGGGATGCTCCTTCCCCGGCGCCCGGCGAGGGAGAGGTGCCCGCAGGCACGGAGGGACCCCCCGCCACCGCTCTCATCGCAGAAGGGCCTCCTGCTCTACCAGATGGATTTGTTCCAGATAACGAGGTATTTGTTGCTCAGGCACTCGCAGACGGGGAGGGGGGGTTCAGGCGTGGAAATCGCTTTATTTTGCACTTGAGGGGTGGGTGGGAGATGGGAGCCTGCTCAGTAACTCACAGCCACAGTCTGCAGGGTTCAGGCTTCCAAACAGCTTCTCCCTCCTGAGTTTGGCTTGAATTTGGCAGGCAGAAAGTTTCGGGGAGGGGGAATTGTGTGTTTTTATAAGTAGGGGAGGCAAAAGACTATTGCTGCTTGATGACCTAAACTATTGTCTTAAATTTTTTTGACTTATTAGAGTACATTATGGTCACTCAGACGTAAATGACAGACTTCAGAAAAACCTTCTTGCTGGACCCTGGCAGGGTGGTTCCCATCTTAGAAGCAGAAAATACATCAGAAGATAAAATCCTGTAAAACAAATTAAGTGCAAATAATTCCTGTCCTGTGCAGTCACCACTTTCTGTAGCTTTTTAAGTGAGCAATAATAAGGTGCTGGGGCTCGGAACACAGGAAGGGGCTCGAATTCTCTCTGGCGCTCGGGGATTTGCTTTACCGTGCTGTGCTAGCGGCTTTTGCCTGGAGAGACCTCGGTGGTGGAGTTCCCACAGCCGAGCGCTGATTTACTGCCATCTGGATTAGCAGAAATATCACTAAGGAGACATCAGAAGTTAGTCAGCACCGAAAATCCCTGTTCGGTAGCAATTACTCATCCTTTGGGCTTTGCCATCCGTTTGAGAGATGCACGTGGAGGGGCTTGGGGAGACGCTTTCACGTGGGGGGGTCCATGTGAGCACAGGCTGGGGCAACCCGGGGTGGACCCTGGCAAGGAAGAAGAGCCGTCGGGTTCTTGCCGTCGTACGTCTGTTGTCTGAGTTTCACTGCTCTGGTGTCAGCACGTCCTTGCTGGTCGGACCCTTATTTTACGTGCGCCGTCTCTGATTGTTAACCCCATAAATCTTCTCGAATGCTGTTCAAGCCGTCGGCAGCACCGGGGCGATGCCTGGGCGCTGCCGGTTCTTCCCACCACGGGGCCGGGCTCTGCGTTCGGCAGCGGCAGGGTTAAGGAGCGCGGCTGCCCGGGAGATGAGGGAAGCAGAAAGCGAGGGGATGCTTTGGGAAGCTTTTCTGGAAGCGAGGAGGAGGTGGAGCAGATGTCCTTCTGCTTGCCAAGATGTCTGTCCAGCCGCTTCGCCTGGGCAGGACACCTCGCTCTGCGCTTTTCCCTGCCCAGCAAAGGGTGTACGTTAAATATTTGTTTCGAAGCTGAGTCACAGTGAGGTTAACAAACTAAATCCCTGGAATCTTTCATGAGCAAAGAAAAACGAGTGCATTTGGCACGCTCGCTCCTCAGGCCATTAGCGTGATGATCTTTGTAACGATCCTTGCGCAGCGTCGCGCTCTCGGGCTGTACCGATTCGGGTGTTGCAGGTGTCCGCGGTCTGACGGCCGGGCTTTCTGCAGGGCTCCCTCCCTGCCCAGCTGCTTCAAAGCCCTGGAGTTTGTTTTTGCAGCGTGCAGAGGGCTCGGACCCAGCCCGGCGTGACGGACTTATCAGCCTGGTCCTTTTGTGGGTTTGGCTGCTCTAACGGCCAGCTCCATATATAAACAGTAACGGGAGAAGCGGCCGGGGAATTGGTGATTTCATGTCACCATTTATTTCTTATAACCGTGGCACAATTCTCCCTGAGCAAACAGCCCTGGACAACGTCTGCCAGCACACCCTTCGCTTCGTGTCCTGGAGCGATACCTCCCTGCCCTCGAGTAGCTGAGCTCCGATGGGAAGAAATAACTTTTTCTTTGAAAATGGTGTACAGAAAGTCAAGGCAGCTCCTCTTGCTTGAGCTGAGAACTTTTTTGAGGGGTGTTTTTTTGTGTTCAGGGTTTTTTGCCTGCCTTGCGTTCCTTCGGAGGCAAAGCGATTGCCGGGTCTGGAGAGCTGTGCCAGCCACGAGCCGCTGCTCTGCCGGGAGAGGTCTTGCATCTGAGTGGGAATTTGTCGATGCCGTCAGTATTCTCGGGCACGCGAGGAGGAGGCACGCTTGAGAAAGCAGGCGGCTGGCTGCGATCCCCTCTGCTTTCCAAAGAGAAGATGTTGCGACAGAGCCGAGGGCTCCGATCCTGCCCAGCGCTGGGTGGCCTGTGCTCTGCGTGGGCTCGTGGTCCAAGGGACCAGAGTGAGCGATGACGGACTACGCTCCCTTTTTTGGGGGGCTGGTGGGGACGCAGCAGGCTTGTCCCGCAGGACCGGGCTGTGCGGCCGCGTCAGATCCGCCGCTCTGATGAAGAGCACTTACCTCCTGGGCAGAAACAGGATTTTCCCTGCTGCCTCTCTTTACAATGGGGAGCTTCTCCTCCCCCTTCCCTATCAAATCTTTTTTGATTCAAAAAGCCGTTCCCCACAGGATTCCCGGGCGGGACCATGCCAAATATGCGGAGCGGTAACCGACTAGCACATTAATTGCCTATTGCCTTTGTCTTTCGAAATACAGCTAGCTTCTCGGTGTCTGTAATTTCGTGGTTAACAAAACTCATGTGATGTCAGGTCCCTGTTCTCAATGGCATCACTGTGAGAATTGCTTTGGGTTTTTCCCCAGGAGCATTATTTCCCAATCTGATGGCTGACCAGAGCCGATGCTCTCATTTCTTCCCCCATTTGCTCTCTCCACCTCACTCCGGTGCTTGGAAAAAAAGGGGATTTACCCATTTAAAAGCAGAGGTGGACGCATACGGATCCCGAGCTGTGCTCCACACCCACAAATGCCTGCGACATCTGTGTTACTGGGTCAAGGCGAGGGAGGAGTTTAGACAAACTTGCACAACTGTAATAAAATCAGTGCAAGTAGCTACCGCATCTTCGCTAGAGAAGAAAACCTGTGGTATCTGTTGAATGGTGGAGGGACTGTAAGAGCAGCTCGCGGGTTATAAATACCTTTTCTCTCCCACCCTTCCCATCCCCAGCTGTTCCAGAAGGAGCAAGTGGATCCTCTCCAGCTAAAACTACAGCAAGTCAATGGAGTTGGTCAAGGACTCATCCAAAGTGCCGGGAAAAACTGTGACGTCCAAGGGCTGGAGCATGACATGGAAGAAATCAACACCCGCTGGAACACCCTCAACAAGAAGGTCAGAGCGTGGGGAGGGGCTGTCACTGGTTTCTCTTGACCTCGTTGGGGTCTGGTAGAAGAAGGGGGGTCATCAACAGGTTGCTGAGGCTCTGGCGTCGATGTGTCACCAGCCTGACCGTGCAGCGGGGTTGTGTTTGGGGTGCAGGTGGCCCAGAGAGTTGCTCAGCTGCAAGAGGCCCTGTTGCACTGCGGGAAGTTTCAGGACGCCCTGGAGCCGTTGCTGAGCTGGCTGGCGGACACCGAGGAGCTCATCTCCAACCAGAAACCTCCCTCTGCGGAGTACAAGGTGGTGAAAGCCCAGATCCAGGAGCAGAAGGTGAGCAAGCACAGGGCAACGGCTGGCTCGATGGGAGGGGGAGCTCTGGACAGCCCGACAATATTTTGGGGGTCCAGCTGTACCAGATAAGGCGTAGCTGGGATGTCCGCGAGCCTGCTTCTTTCACGGTGGCTCTTCTAGTGGTTCCCCGAATTCTAATGTAATAAACAGGCAACTCGTTTGCTCGCACTCGCTATCTCCATCGTCTAAATTGCCAGCGTTACTTTATTGTCCCATTGCCTCTTGAAGTTTGCTGCTGGTTTTGCTGGTCGGCCGTGTTTTTCCAGCCCTGGGTTTTGTTTGTGCTGGTAATTGTGCTGCATCAGGAGCAAGCTGGCGTAGTACGTACCGGTTTGGGTATTTGGACAAAATGAGTGTACGAACTGTAAGAACCGACCCGAGGCGTGCCGGTGTTTGCAGAGATAACAGCCTGGGTTGGCGCCTGCCCTTGTGAGCAGGCGGATGAAAGTTCAAGTGTGGTCGTGGTAAAATATTTAGAAATGAATTCTTACCGAGGCTTAGTCTGACGTATTGAGACTTTGAAGAGGAAATTTATTTAAAGTGGAAGTTAAAAACTTGATAAGTTTGAGGGGGTGATGGGGAAGCCTCTGAAAACCTCTCTGGCACAGAAGTGCTTTGAATCTCTTTTAGAATAGAGTGGAATATTTCAGTTGGAAGGGACCTGCAGTGATCGTTTAGTCCAACTGCCTGACCACTTCAGGGCTGACCAAAAGTTAAAGTGTATTATTATATTATTTATTTTTTTTTAACTGGTTTTGGTGGCAGAGGCTGTCCCACTGGGCTGGCTTTGGTCTCAGCCCTGTGCTTTTGGTGGTTTTCAGCCACAATTAGAGATTTGATCTCTCCGAGAGCTAGAAGTGGTTCTTGCTGATCCAATCCAGTAACTTTTATCCTTCTTTGTTTCACTGCTGATGCTAAAGCTCCTCCAGCGACTCCTGGACGATCGCAAAGCCACCGTTGAGATGAAAAAAAAAAGGGCGGCCGGATCGCGCAGTCGGCCGAGCCCGCGGATCGGGAGAAGATCGTGGGCCAGCTGGAGAGCCTGGAGCGCCGCTGGGCAGGGCTGCTGGGCAGGGCGGCTGGCAGGTGAGAGGCTCTGTCCTGCCGGCCAAAAACACGGGGCCAGCTCATCTGGCGATTCACAGTGCCCTGGAGCTTGGGGTTACAACACGCGGGAAGCTGGCGGAGATTTGTGTGCAGATACATCCTGGAAATATGGAAACAGCTGGAAAACATGAGAAATCAAAGCCTGTTTGGGAGCTGAAGCTGATAGCCGTGGTTTACAATGGCGGGGAAGAGCTCAGATTAAATAAATTCCCTGCAGGGGATGGATGTTATTTTTATTCCTTTAAGTGTTAACGTTTAGCTTCAGCAGCAACATCCTGTTGACACCTTTCTGCTGCCTGAATCTTGTTTATGAGTTGCTTGTTGCTACATAAGCTAATATTTGAGGTTATAAAGTCACTTCTGAGGTCCAGATTTGACCTCCCAGTATTTTCAACCACTGCCAACTAGATGGACTGTCCATCTTGTACCACTGCCGGGCTGTCTTTGAACAGAAGCTCAACAGCTCTGAAACACCGAGAGCCCGGCCACAAGCTGAGCACATCTGAGGATCTCCAAGATAGTGATAGGAACAGCAGAAAAGCAGCACGAACGGGAGCCTTTCTGCTGCCTTCCCCAGGGGATGAACTGGACCCCAAAGTCACAGCTGCAGGAAAAAGCTTATTTTGCAATTGCCCTTGCTCTGATCAGGGCTGCTTTGGTTCCCTCTTCCCATCGCTCGAAGCCGCTTCCCATGCCTGGCTGCAACGGGGAGCTGCTCCTCACTGGTTTATTATGTCCTTACTATAGGCAGAAGCAGCTGGAGGACATCTTGGTCCTGGCGAAACAGTTCCACGAAACCACGGAGCCCGTGTCAGACTGGCTGTCAGTGACAGAGAAGAAACTGGCCAACTCGGAGCCCATCGGTACCCAGACCGCCAAAATCCAGCAGCAGATCAGTCGGCACAAGGTAGGAGCCCCGTGTGAACGGGAGCTGCAGATGGAGGTGGTTGGTATCAGGTCCCACTCAGGTGGGTGTTTCTGCCACGGCGAGGGGGTTTTTGGCACAAACAAGTACCAAGGAGTTACCCAGGCTGCTTTACGTACAGAGAAGGCTGCAAACCCTAACCCGCCGGTGTGGGTAAATGTTAAACTGACGCCTTTGCACCTTGCAGCAAATGTATCTGGCTCTGGATAGAAAAACCATTCCTGTTCTTCTGTTTCGTTTAAACTTTATTTTGATGAAGTTTGCCCATTCATGGGTGGGTTTTGTGTCTCCTTCATTCCTTCAGTTGCATTCATTGTTTCTGTTTTCCCCTTCTATGTTTGGTTTGGGTTTTTTTTTTAATCCATTTTTTCCACTCATTTTCCTTTCTGTTGTCCATTTTATCCTCCCGGCATTCAGGCTCTAGAGGAAGAGATAGAAAGCCACGCGGCCGACGTGTCTCGGGCGGTCGGTGTCGGGCAGTCCCTCTCCTCCCTGAGCTGTGCCGCTGAGCGGAGGCTGCTGGCAGAGAAGCTAGACTCTCTGCAGACCCGCTACGGCGAGGTCCACGACCGGTGCTGCCGGAAGGCAGCGCTGCTGGATCAGGCGCTGTCTAACGCCAGGCTCTTTGGGGAGGAGGAGGTGGAAGTGCTCAACTGGCTGGCTGAGGTCGAGGACAAGCTCAGCTCGGTATCCGTAAAGGATTACAAACGGGACGTCCTGCAGAAGCAGCATGCCGACCAGCTGGTATTTTCCATTTTCTTCCATGTTTATGTTGTTTATTTTGTTGCATTTATCTGGTTTTATTTTTATTTCTGGTCTGACTTTAATTTTGCAAAGCTCATTCCACTGTTGGTTCTCTTCTAAGCTTGGAGAAGCGTAAAGAGATTTCATGTGTTAAAAACAATAATTGTGGCCCCAAAAATGGGTTTCCCGGGGCAGGGAAACTTCAAATGATTCATTTGCTTTGTGAACAATGTCTGAGCAGACTTGGCCACCCCGTGCCTTTAGAAAGCTGGATGCTGTTTCCAAGAATGAGAGGTTGAAAAGCCCGGTGGGTTTTCCAAGCCAGGCTGGCCACCGAGGAAGCCGTCTGCTTCCGCTCCCCGGGGGCCGTGCAAGCTCTTTTCAAGAGTGAGGTTATGCCTAATACGAGGACGAGTTCTTTGGTAACACGTACCCAAGGGGTTGGGATGGGTTTGCTCTAAGATTTGAGCCTTTGGGTCCCAGAAGTCCCAGTAAGTCCTGTAGCAGGAGAAGGTTGACTGGACAAGTATCAGATCTGTTGTCCACCCTTCCCGTGCTCGGTAGGAGCAGTTCGTGCTCTGCCAGCACTGGCCGGCAGCACGGGGGGACCTGCCTGCAGAAGGGTAACCCTGATTTGCCTTTCTCTCCAGGCTTTGAACGAGGAAATTGTGAACAGGAAGAAGAACGTGGACCAAGCCATTAGAAACGGGCAAGCTCTTCTGAAGCAAACCACAGGTAACGCAAAGAGCAGAGTGTGCTCTGGCCCACGTCGGGGGTTTGGGAAGCCCCCCCGTCCTCTGCATGGTCATCCCTGGGAAGTCTGTGCTCTGCAGAGATCCCTTGTTCGGGGAAGGCTGTTCTCCCTCCGGTCAAATTTCCTTTTGGATACTCCCAAAGTAGCTGTTTTGCATCCAGACCTGGATGCCGAGCCACGAGCACTCCAGCTTAGTAAATCCCGAGTACCAACCTCGCAGCTTCTTGAGCGGGTGATTCCCACCGCCGGCGAGGTGATGCTCAGCGCCGTGCAATGCGATGGAGGGTTTTCTTATTGCATCCAGCTGCTAAATCACATGGAAAGAGGTTAAAAATACACCCAGGCCTTTCCTAATATCGCTTTCCCATACTGAGCAGTTGTTGCTGTTGCCACGTGGGTGTGAGTTTATGTTTATGAGTGGGAAGAGAGGTCGGGGCGATGCATTTCCTTCAGATGTGGTCTGCTCGGAGCAGATGTACAGACCTCTGTCCTTGTGGGAGCCGTGTAGCAGGAAGAGTGATTACAAAGAATTTGGCTTGCAGTTTCTTGTCCTCTCGGAAACAGCAGTAAAGAGTGAACTGGACCTTTTTTTCTTGGAGCTGTGACACGTTAGTTGAGAACTGGGTTGTGGTGGCTTTGGGGCTTGTGGCGAAGCCAGGTTTCGCAGCAGGATTCCTTCCTATTCCAGGGAGGAGGTGGACGTTACCCTGGCTGGTAGAAAATGTCAGCTCTGAGAGTAGCTTCCTGGCTGTAAAAATATACTGCTAAGTTGCACTAATACGAAGAAAAGTGAGACTGCAATTAGCTATTTAAAATGGGGGGGAATAGGGCAAGTGGCTGCTTAAACCTTCTTGCAGCTCCCCCCCAGCCCAGCATCATCTGCCCCTTGCTGCTGTCTCGCAGGGGAGGAGGTGTTGCTGATCCAGGAGAAGCTGGATGGAATTAAGACCCGCTACTCGGACATCACCGCTGCCAGCACCAAGGCGCTGCGCACGCTGGAGCAGGCTCGGCAGCTGGCCACCAAGTTCCAGTCCACGCACGAGGAGCTCACCGGCTGGATGAGCAAAGTGGAGGACGAGCTGGCTTCCAGCGGGGGACAGTCCCCCTCCGGCGAGCAGATACCCCAGTTCCAGCAGAGGCAAAAGGTGGGGGCTGGCAGAGCAGCGCCCGGGCGATGGGGATGCGAGGGTGGGAGCCAGCGGGGGTTTGCTCGCTGTTTTGAGAGGCCGGGGAGGAGCTGGAGAGGGATGTCAACCTGCGGAGCACTGAGAAGGGCGCGTGTCCATGTGCCTTCCACAGGAGCTGAAGAAGGAGGTGATGGAGCACAGGCTTGTCCTGGACACGGTGAACGAGGTGAGCCGAGCTCTCTTGGAGCTGGTTCCCTGGCGAGCCCGCGAAGGGCTGGATAAACTCGTGTCGGACACCAACGAGCGCTACAAGCTGGTCAGCGACACCGTCAAGCAGAGGGTGGAAGAAATCGATGCTGCTATTCAGAGGTCTCAACAGGTAATTTAATAACCCCACCAGAGGCCGATGGGTTTTCTTGGGAGAGCGGGAGCGAGTGGCTCGGCACCGCT